GCCGAGGCGAACTACTGTCAGCGGCGTAATTATCGGGCATAATCGTCGGTCCCGAGATTACCGGGTGTAACCGACGATCCCGAGATTACCGGGTGTATCCGTTGCGAGATTAGCGGGACTACCACCCATAAGTAGAGGACTTCACTCCACGATCAGGTACGATGATTTCTGGCCTCGAACTAAACTGGGAATCCGACCTATACTGACTTGATCGTCGGAGTGCTCACCTTTTTGTGCAGGTCCGCCCAAGTGTTTAGATCGGTCCGGAGGCCGAGTTCGAGCTGCAATCTGAAATACACTGTTGTGCATATCCTTGCATAAACATAGTCTATAATCTATATAGGCATTTAAAGATTATTTTTGTTTTTCTTTTTGGTACGTTGGTTTGGGCTGAGTTTTTTATTTGGAAGTAAGTATATGTATATATTTATATATATATATTTCTTTTAGGAAAACAAACCTTAATGGAAATTCGGGTAGAAAACCCTCTTCAGAAATTGAAAGGGCTTAGGGGTAAGGGTAGCAAATTCTAAGCCCAACTTGAGCCCACTTAACAACTTTTAAAGTTAGTGGGCCAGCCCAATAAATTAAACCTGCTAAACAAGTTTTGGCCCAACCAAACATACATTTGACACACACTTTTAAGAAAATTATATAAACAGTCATTTGATACCTATAAAATTAATTTTTGCATATTTATTGGGCATGTTTTGACATTTCTCATATCGAAAAATGGCATTTAAACATTAATCCATTCAAATATGGTACTTATTGTGCAATGGATTAATTAATCTAGATTGAAGTGTGCTACAACCAAAAAAGAAAAAGTTTTCTTTAACAAAAAAGTAAGGTTGTTTTATCAAAATCACGCTAAAACATAGTTATTAAAATGCCATTGCAACACCGTATTATCCTAAAAAAGCAAGGTTGTTTCATCCGGAAGAGATTAGAATTCGACTTCTATAAATACAAGGATAAGTCAAACCTTAAAAGTATGCTAACAACACCGTATACTTTATACTCAACTACTCCGATTCTAACTTAAGCATCAGAGCCTGTGTGGCAAGAGCCACACCGGTCTTTAGTGCTATTCTGTTTTGCAAGGTTCGTCGATCTCTTTTATTCTTGAAGATTGGTGCGAATTTGGCGGAATTCCAAGAGACCAAATTTCTGCATCAACAAAGAGTATAATTTCGTGTGCTTGAAAATGAGGAAACATCCAACTCATAATCACAATAGCTACTCATATATAGACGATGATGAGTGACAGATGGCGGCGACAAACGACAACATCGTGAGAGAGGTGAGATTGAGATTGAGGGATGAGAGTGATGAAACTCTTACGGTTTGGGTTGGATTGTCGGTTTTTTTTAACATTCCTATAATTTAGGTCAAATAGAGTATAATTGACTATTTATCGACTATGGACATTGATTATGCCTTTTCATCATTGAGTTTGGATATTTGTTTTTAAGATAACATCTGAGGGTGGGGATCGAAATCACACCCTCTTGTTTGGAGATATATGTTAATTACCGCTGAGCTATGCTCGTTTTGACTTGGATATTTGTTTTTTTATTGGAAAATAAGAAGATTTTTTAATATGTTACATTGTCTTAAAAATACAATAGCACCCATACCATATGTTATGTTTCAAGTCTAAACTATTATTTAATTACATCAATATTATTGTTCATTTAAATGTGTTTTAGTCTAATACTATTCATTATTTCAATATGTTTTAAAGTTGGTCTATTTTCTGTCTGATTTCAAAGTATAGCACAGCACAAAAAAGAAAACTAATAAAAATAAAAATAATTTAATTTAATATATTTGCATGAGCCTAATATTTTTTCTAAGCACTTCATTTAAGAAAATTGAACTGCCTCATTTGTTTCTTTGACAATAATGTTTAATATTTACTTTAAAATTAAAGTATTAATAGTATAGTTGAGAGATTTTATCAACTATTGATTAAGTCATTACTTTGAAGTGAAGGTATTAATAGTAATTTATCCATTAATAATCATGTCAAATATCCAAATTTTTATATAGTGTTGATTCCAATATTATTGAATGGATAGTGTATATATTTTTGTGTTTGTATAGTAGAGTTATGTAATAGGTGAAGAAGAGTGAGTGCATTCTCAACAACTTTTGAATTGATTAATTAAAAGACACGTTTAAGAACAAATAAGGTGTAATTTACGAGCTTAAGATTTCCAAATTTCTTTGCCTATTTTGGATTAATGAGGATTACATAGGATGTTAATCACTATATCAGCTTTTTGAAAATTAGAAATAAACCGAATGGATGTAAAAATTAGATTTTTAAATAGAGATTTAGATGAAGAAACCTATATGTAACAACCTGAAGGGTGTGTTGTRGTAGGACATGAAAATAAAGTTGGTAAATTTGTAAAGTCTCTTTATGAGTTGAATCAAACACCTAAACAATAACATGAGAAGTTTGATTACGATATGTTATCTAATGCATTTAAGATAAATGAGTGTGACAAAAAAAAAATGCAGTTCGAAATCCCTTCCCCACTTTTGTACTAGAAAAAAGTGTAGCTGGCACGTGGATCAAGTTAATACGTGGAGTCCCTTCTCGATCCCACTATTTGTATGATTGTACATGTGTTCATGACATGTCATACAATTCTATTTTCAGAATTTGAGTTATATATTGTTTTTTGTTGGACAATAGGAAGATTTTAAGTTATAATTCGTTATAATCGCATCAGTATTGCTCATTCAAATATGTTTTTAGTCTACCTACTATTCATTATCTCGACATAATATGTTTTAAAGCTTTTATATTTTCAAAAAATAAATCGTTAGAACAACCTTGGAGGTAAATTTATGCCATGACACTTGGACTTAGCAACTCAGCTTGAGACCATTGGAAGTGGTAAACGAAGCTAACTGTGCAGACCAACTTGACTCAAAACCAAGCTGAGTACCATAGTCTCACCCCGCCGACTTAAGGATTTCGGCAGCTACAACTGCTGGAAAAGCGATTGTAATAGTCTTGTCCTCCAGCCTATAAAAGGGGCACTCTACCTCATGACTCAGTACGTAATTCTGCTCTGAAAGTGACTTATCATAGCTCGCATCATTTCTAACTTGAACGTCAGAGAGTTTATTCCTTTGCAACCCACGCACTTCAAACTACAAACAACACATTCACCAAAAACACCAACAACTTCCCTTTTTTCACAAAGGATAGAAACATGGCATCCCAAAATGTACTTTCAAAGCAAAGTAAAAACCACCATCAAACTAAACCCTAACTTCATTCTCCCTCTACTAAGATATTACTATGGATCTTCAAGAAATATCCTTGAGATCTTAGATTTAAACCATATGAGACGCAATTTCCATTAAGCAATAATTATCACTCAAAAAGATATTATCTTAAATAGAAGTTTTGTTTTTATAAATTCATGATCTTTTTAATAGAGGCAAAAAAAAAAAAAGAAAAATTTCGGTTCGGATTGGGTTAATTTTTTTTTGAACCAACCGGGTCGGTTCAGTTCTCGAATTTAGAAAAGAAAATTAGGGTTCCTTATTTTTTTCCCCCTTGCGCCGCTGCCTCCACCAAATCTGCTCTCTTCCGATCTCTCATCTCTCCGATCTCTCACCTCTCCGATCTCCCTCTCTTTTAATCTTATTTCACTGCTCGCCGTTTTTCTAAAGTTTGTGGCGCCGTTCTTCTTCAGAGCGAATCCTTCCTTTGTGCAGATCCACCGTTGTTCTTCGCTTCGCTCAATCGTTCACCGCCACACCGTTCGTCCATTTCCATCCTTCGCCTTCGCCCCTTGTCACCGCTGTTCCGTGAGTGTGGTCGTCGCTCAATCTTTCGCTCTCATACTCCCTGTAAGTGATATTCCATGTTCTTCATCTTCTGAAATTTCGTTTTTTATTGATAGCATTTGCAGATTGAATCTCATTTGATTTCGTTTCCGAGGCAAGAAGAGGGAATTTCTTGTGCTCCTTATATTAAGAAAATTTCTGYCCATTGGGGTTTCTTTTGTTCATTGTGTGTCCAAATGACCAATATTTTGAGTTCATAGATGATATTTTTTTTTCCTTCGGTTGGTTTTTGTAGGTGAAAATTAGCTTAATTAATACACTTGTTGATGGAGGATGTAAGAATAGAATTCTCGAGTTTGCATTTGATTGGAAGATACTAATTTTGACAATGTTATTCAATATGTTTTGCCTTCATCCATCATTTTCTGTTTGATCCGTGAGTGCTCAATTACTAGATGGTAAAACGATAGAGAAGTCCTTGAAAGACTAAGCCTGTGAAATCTCACGCATTTGGAATTAGATTTGGAAGCAATGTGCAATCTTAAGATGCTTACAAGGTGTCAGGATTAAGAAAGTGAATGAGTTCTGAAAAAATTCTTCTAACCAGGGTTTGTTTGGGAATGGCCAAAATCACTTTTGTTATTGCCAAAATCACTTCATTTTTCATTGATCATAATGATTTTGGAAAATCAATTATACTAAAATCTATTTTATATATATATTTTCTTTTTGCAAAATCACTCGTTCTACCATCACTCCTAAACATACCCTAAACATACCCTAAAAAAGTGAATCAATTTTGGTTAAACATACCCTAAGAAAGTGAATCAATTTTGGTTTAGGGGGGGATTGGTTTGAAGTAGGTTTGATTATGTGTTTTGGTAGGGTCTGAATAGTACGACAGACACGTTGTTAGCGACGTCTGCAGCGACCAACGGCATTTTGTCGCTAATACTTTCAATGATGCGGTGGAGCTTTCAAATACTTTCAACGATGCGGTGGAGCTTTCAGTGATATTTTCCTGATGTCTTTGAAAATAGACTTTTTTTTTTGTAGTACTATGAATATACCTCACATTTAAAGAAATCACTCAATGATATTTCGTCTCTATTTCCTCTCAACCCTTGTAATGCTCACAACTTGCTCAACTTGAATAATGCCATCTGTAATTGGTAAAACTTACTAAGTTCCCGTGTTTTCGAGGTGCAAGATGCACCTCAAGGCGAGAAGCCTTTGATCTCCTTAAGGAGAGAGGTGATAAAAAGGCGACGCCTGAGTGAAGAAAGGCGCATCTTTTACATATATATATGAAATGCCAAAGTTATAAAAAATTAAATAAGATTCAACAATAAATATATCAAATAAAATAAAGAAAAGAGCCCTTGAGAAGGAAGAAAGAGATAAAATAAAGAAAAGAAGTAAAAATATTAACTTACATCTTTTAAAACATTAAATCATTAAAAAAATAATTTAATATTTAATTAAAAGTTCACTTAAATTAAGAAAAATAAAAATAAAAATCTTAAAAGCTTTTATATGGTAAAATGAAATGGCAATAACCCATTTAAGCTGCCATATGTTTATTTGTCACCATGCATGCACTAAATGTTCTTGAAAATAATACCATGCATGACCCTCCTTTAATACTTCTTGAAAATGTAATTCTGCCTTTTGCTTTTCTCACTCTTTTCTTATTTTTCTTCTCTTTGCATCTTAATCTTCTTCTTCCTAATTTCGACTCTTCTTCCTTTCACTCTTCTACTTTTTATTTTTCTTCGACTCTTCATTCTTCTTCCATCCTAATGTTTTTCTTTTTAATTTCGACGATCGACGGAGGCAAACAGTTGCTGGCAAAGACAAAGAAGGCGAACAAAAGACAAAGAAGAAGAAATTGTCAAAAAATAATTGCAAGGGTGGGATAATTTTTAGGATTTTTCATTTGAGGTGAGCTTTTTGTGCACCCGCCTTAAACGAGGCGATCGCCTTGCCTCAGGCAAGAGGCGTGCCAAGGCGCTCGCCTGGGCACCTTGCAAGGAGCACCTGGGCGAAATCGCCTCGCCTCTTGCCGGAGGCGAGCGCCCGAGTGCGCCTCGAAATCACTGTTAAGTTCATTCAAGTTAGGTCAATGAAGCAACGTTAGTCGAACTGCCCGGGTCAAGTTGATCAAGTCAATAATTTTTTGGGTTTTTCATTTGAGGTGGGCTTTTTGTGCACCCGCCTTCAATGAGGCGATCGCCTTGTCTCAGGTGAGAGACACGCAAAGGCGAGCACCCGGTTGAAGGCGCTCGCTTGGGCACCTTGCAAGGTGCACCTGGGCGAAATTGCCTCGCCTTGCCTCTTGCCTGAGGCGAGCACTGGGTGCACCTCGAAATCACTGCTAAGTTCACTCAGTTAGGTCAAAGAAGCAACGTGAGTTGAGCCGCCCGGGTCAAGTTGACCGAGTCGAACCACCCAATATCTGACCAGACCTAGTCAAACCCTTCCAGCCGAAGGGACTCCCTCTATAAATCAGACTAGATGTCTAGAGCAGGAAGTACATTTCACAAGTTGGAATTTTTTTTTGAAATGGTGGTATTGATAACCAAGAAATTAGTTTACAAAATCTTGTTTTGTTAATATTAAAAATTTAGCTAAGAATTCATGGGTAATTTTTAGAAAGGATTGAGAACGGTTTTAAAATAGGATTGAGATTGAACTATTTGAGAAGATAACGGTTTTAAGCTTATTAGCTTGAAGTTCTTCGGCAGCCTTAAACTTTCTTTCTTCACGTGTGAATATTAATTAAATGCAACTATCGAATTGAGTTCATAGGATTGAGATTAACTTGAAGTTCTTTATTTGTTCATGTGTGAATATTAATTAATATTGCAATAGAGTGACAAAATTAGTGATGTGAGTTATTTGGTTCTTATTTGATGCTTTGAGTATGGGATTTTCCATAGAACTTAGTTTGGTGATGGATTTTAAAATTTACTAGTTTTTGGATATTAATTCTGAAGTTTATGAGGTTGAAGTTTATGTTGGATATTAATTCTTGCCATTGCTCTCCCCTTAGATCTTCTCCTGTTACCTTCCGTTTCCTCTTCCGATCCCGTTTGGTTTCAATTGCAGAGACATGTATGGTTTCGAAGCGCTTACATTTAACATTCATGGAGGCTATTTGGAGGCCATCGTGCGGGGGCATAGGGCTGGCTTGCTCACCGCCGCTGACTACAACAATTTGTGTCAGTGTGAAACCCTAGACGATATCAAGATGCACCTATCTGCCACCGAGTATGGCCCTTATCTCCAAAACGGTGGGTGAGTCTTGGTTTTTTGTTTTTCCAGATGATTTATGATATTGAATATGGATGTTGGGGAAATTTTAGTGTCCTTATATCATTGGATTACATGTACGAGGAGATAATTGGTATAGGAGTTGCCTTGTTGAGGATGCCAGCTACCGATTAAAATTTGGATCTTGCAATAGTTTTTCACAGAGTTTGAATTTATTGGTATTTTGACTCAACTAATAATTTAATTTAATTGACTCAACTATGTTATGCTACTCGAAGCTTTAAGCTAAGCATCTGACTTCAGATTCGCAATATAAGAATTACATGTCTATATACTATAATGTACAACATTAAGTAACTGTTTATGCTTTAACATTTAAATTAAATTCTATTTTTACAATGTAGCTGGTGGGTATGCTAGTTGATTGTAAGATGATATAGTTGACTTGTAACAATAGTTAACAATGGAGCCTCTTCGATAGACATATGAGTTGTGGAGTTGGAGGGATATTTTGAAAGTGGTAAATGCAGAGAATTGACCTTCGCTAGAATCCATCCCTGCATTTCAAGGATGGGGATAGGCATATAGAAAAGCAGTACCGGAATAGGTGGCTTTGCTGTTGTATGATATTTTACCATGGGAAGTGGTACCTCAGAGCTCACTGAGGATAAGGAGATTAATATTCGTGATTAGAAGGATTGTGTGACTGTTAGAATAGGACACCATGCAGAGATCACAACTATAGTTAATAATGTGAGAAATTGAATATTCCATATCAAATAAGTTCAAGAGTAATCTACCTTACTTCATGAATATATTATGTGATCAGAGCATATGTTAGTCTAACTTATCATCCTTTACCTACATGAACAAGTTACATTTCTTACTTGAAGTCGGCAGATCTTGTTCTATGCATGCTAATTTCAAAGTATTTTGTAGAACCATCTCCATTGCATACAACGACAATTGTGGAGAAATGCACCCTTAAACTGGTCGACGAGTATAAACACATGTTATGCCAAGCCACAGAGCCCTTGTCTACCTTCTTAGAGTATATCACGTATGTTGAGTGTCTTTTCTGATAGTTATTTGCATCTTTTGAGCGTTCATCATTTTGTTACCTTCTCATCATTATAAACTTTCAACTTGATGGAATCTTTACTCAGATATGGTCACATGATAGACAATGTTGTACTTATCGTTACTGGAACCTTGCACGAGAGAGATGTTCAGGAACTGTTGGAGAAGTGCCACCCTTTGGGCATGTTTGACAGGTATTGTCAGCTGATAGAGTTTTGTGTTACGATACCATCATATGGTATTTGCCAAAAAAGAAAAACTCGATATCTTACCCAAAACTTGATAGTGTTGTTAGATGTTTTCTCATTTTTTCTTTTTATTTTTTGCTAGCATTGCTACCTTGGCAGTTGCCCAAAATATGCGCGAACTTTATAGATTGGTGCTTGTTGACACTCCTTTGGCTCCATACTTCTCGGAGTGTATCACATCTGAGGTTTAATCCATAACTCCGTTCATTTTTCATTATTGGCTTTCTTTCGCATTTCACTTTGAAGCAGCAGAGCATATGTTGCAGGATATGATGACTTTATTATTTTTACAACATTTAATGCATAATTGATAGTATCATTTTCAGTTTCATTTTATTTTTTTTAAAATAGAAGATTTTCTGAGCTTTTAGTTTTATAAAGCCCTTGGTGCCAGAGCATGCAATTAGAGAATTGGAGTATCGATAATAGCATTGAGTTAAACTGGATTCCTTAGCATAATGACTTCTCATATTGAATGATGATTGAAACCTTGTTGCATTTATGGTGTTGATGCACAACTTAACAATTGTACAAACTGTATTGTCCTGGAATGATTTAGTTTATTTAGAAGTACAGTGCAGTTAAATTCAGGCTAAAGCTACAGGTTTCTGGTTTCTATTATTTTTGTTAGGATTTGGATGACATGAACATTGAAATAATGAGGAACACTCTCTACAAGGCATACCTAGAGGATTTCTACAGGTTTTGTCAGGTGAATGAAGACTTATAAGTTACGAAGCTTATTTTTCAGTATAAATATCTCAAATTCTTATCTATTTGTATTTGATTTTTGAGGTAGAAACTGGGTGGTGCGACAGCTGAGATCATGTCTGACCTCCTTGCTTTTGAGGCTGATAGAAGGGCTGTCAATATTACCATAAATAGGTATCTTGATGCTGGTCGATACATATTTCATGGCTCACTGGATTTATCTTATTTATTAGCTCTTGTGGTGGTCATTATGCTTCAGAATTTTCTTTAATTAAATGCTTTTCATATATTGTAGTATTGGCACTGAACTTACCCGAGATGACCGAAGGAAGTTATATTCCAATTTTGGTTTACTGTAAGCAATTCTTTAATCTCAAATTTTCTTTTAAACTTCACACATGCCGAGTGGACCATCATCTAATGAGATCCCATATTTACAGTTACCCCTATGGCCATGAGGAACTCGCTATCTGTGAGGACATTGATCAGGTACTTCGAATTTGAGTTATAACATTTGGTACTCATGAATTCGAGTTACAACTAATAACATTATGTCAGAGTTTTGGACACTGGGCTACTGATTTGAAGATTGATCTTCGAAAATTGACTTCTGATGAATAACACGAATGTAAATATGTAAATGATTATTGGCTAAATCATAGGGATCTGTTTATTTAGTTCCTAAATTTTGACCCACCTGTTCTTATTTTTATCTGACTTACTCCGTTATGTCATGCCATGTGAAATCATTACTCAACAGGGCATGTAATAGTATTCATGGTTGAGACTTCTTTGAATTGAAATGAAAATTTTAGAGATGTAGTTAAAAGTTTTTAAAGTCTAGAGATTTAATAGACACAACCGAAGTTTAAGGACTAAACTTCTAATTTAAATGATTTGTTATTTAGAAATTGCGACAAAAAAAGATGTTCATCAGTAAGAAATTATGTGATAATGTAGTTTGACAATTTGGATGAGTTCGTGGGCAATGTACACCTTGGTGACTTGACCTTGTTTTACCTGATAGATATTTTCCCATGTGTAGTGTATCTTAAATTGAAGCTTCTTTCACTTTGTATTTTAGGTTCGTGGTGCCATGGAAAAATACCCTCCCTACCAGTCAATTTTTTCGAAGTTATCATATGGGGAAAGCCAGATGCTTGACAAGGCATTCTATGAAGAGGAGGTGAAAAGGCTATGCCTAGCGTTTGAGCAACAGGTTTGTTCCAATTCGCCATTCAATATCCTGTTTCCGATTCTTCTTGGACGTCGAGCGGTTATGTCTCCTTACACAAATTCTACACTATTGAATCAAGTAACATATCGTTCGGTTCTTTCTTTCCTTGCAGTTCCATTATGGTATTTTCTTTGCATACATGAGGTTGAGGGAACAGGAGATTAGGAACCTAATGTGGATCTCGGAATGCGTCGCCCAGAACCAGAAGTCGAGGGTTCACGACAGCGTTGTCTTCATATTTTAGTCCGATAAGAAAACCGTCTAATTAAATCACATTTGTTTCCAGTTTTTTGCATACTTTACTGTAAAATCTTGGCTCCATCTTATCTTATGCTGTGCTGCAGAGATGGGGGGTTCATACATTCATTCCTTGCAAGAATTCATGTCTAAATAAGTGCTTTTTCCGATGTATTACTGGTTTAAAGTTAAAAATTGAGAAATTATTGTACTCAAAAGAATCATCAGATACTGATACTGTGGGTGTGAAGAAGACGAAATTGAGTTTATGTAATAAGTTTTTGTATAAATAAGCTTTTTTATGTCTGTGATTCAGAGGCCAAGAAGGGTAACGCAGATGGAAAGGTACTGTATTCCCTTTGCAGGATGACTTTACATTGTTTCCTTTTTATTTTTTTTAATAATCTTTGTTTCTTTAATTAATCACTAAAAATATTTAAAATCATTCTAAAATATGACACTTGTTCTACTTGATATAGTGCCAAATACTTACCAAGTTCATGGGGTGGGATTTAAGGACCAAATGAAGAAGATTTAAACTTTCTTAAGATTGAGTTTAGCATTGACTTGTTTTTGGATTTGTTAGAATGTGTTTGGGAGTGATGGTAGAATTAATGATTTTGAAAAAACAAAAGAGAGATTTAAATATAATTGGTTTTTCAAACTTATCATCCAATTAATGCCTTAAAAATTAATTTAAAGTGATTTAAATCAAGCTACGGAATTAACTCTTTAACTCTTGAATATATATATGTAGACTTGCTAATTTCAACAAAAATTTAGCCTAGTTATGAGTCTCAAAGTCCCATCAAACCTATGTTTATAATCCATTATTGTCACGCCTCTAAACGTTTTTTATTTACCTTGACCCATATCACTGATAGTGATATATGCAATGATTGTTGTGTATCGTAGATGCTAATGATATTGAAGTGGACAATACCATAAATACAGGGTATGTAGCTAGAAGATTTAAGTCTCTGTCCCGAAAATGATTGTATTGATACAAATTGCAAATGGTATATCCGTTCATCTACAACATTTATGGTTAGTGAGTGTGTTAAATCCTTTCTAAAGAATAATACTAAGATACAATATCGACCACGATATATTGTCAATTATATGCATAGAAAGCATGACATTAATATTAGTTATAGTAAAGCTAGGAGAGGACGGGAGGATGCACTCAAAGCTATCATGGGGTCTCCTGAAGAATCATACGCTCGTATTCTATCATTTCCTAGTTGCTTAATTTTGAAGAATCAAGCTACATGCTTATAATTGTTAACTTGTATACTATGAATGCTTACACATACCATGTACATATATATGTACATGTAGTTACATATTTAATATTTAACAATCACAATACCTCTTTGAGGAACCTATACTCCGCATTTGAGATTAATGATTCTGAAGGGAGGTTCAAATATACGTCTATTAATAGGTGAAAACATTGTTTGCTAGCTATCTTCATTGATGGAACCTTTTTACGTTGATGGAACCCTTTTAAAGAATAAATTTTATAGTACTTTACTTTCAACATGCACGTTCCATGGTAATTCACAGATATTTCTCTAGTCTTTTCTATAGTTGACTCTGAAAATGATTCTTCTTGAGAGTGATTTTTCCGAAACTTAAAATTAGCATTGATTCAGTTGTTCTTCGATAGAGTGGAGCAGACTAAATTAGAGATCCGATTGGAGTTGAAACGGAAGACGAAGTTTGAGGGGAAGAAGGAAAGAATAAGGAGATAGAGGGAAGAATATGGAGGGAAAATGTCATGTCATAATCTAATCACAAAAAAAATATATATTTATTAGGTCCAGTCAATAAGTACAATCACCAACTTAACCTCCAAACATCAAGTATCAATTACCAGTCAAAGGAGTTAAAAGAACAATTTAGAATCATTTATCAAACTTTAGGGATTACTAGCATCCTTTTTAAAACTTAAGGACCAAATAACATTTACTTCAAACCTCACGAATCAAAAGTGTGTTTGCTTTAAAAATATTTGAGGACTATTGTAAAAATTAAATAAACTATAATGGTGCTCTATATTTCTATTGAAAATAAAGGGAGATAATGTATGATTTAACTTAAGTTTGTATTGCCAATCTGAGCATAGCACAACTAATTAAGGAACCTATCTCTGAATAAAAGGTCCATGAAAATGTCATGAGAAGATGCCTCAATATGACAATATCAGAAACTCATGAATGTTCAAAAGGACGTCAAAAAATCTCAGGTATCTTTCGGCATCTCAAATACCTAGGTATCATTGATTCCTACAAAACAAATGTAGGAATCTAGATAGTGGATATCCATTCTATTATACGATCATGAATTTGAATGAAAATCAACTGTAATGAAATTAGAATTGAAGAATGTTATTTCTTTCATGATTTTACTCGAAATTAAAGAACCTATTTGATATTGTTTACTAGAACTATTTGAGAATCAAACTATATGCAATAGGAATTAGACATATTTTAATTACTATAATACCCTTTCATATTTATTACTTATTATATAATTTTTAATTAAAATTACAATAAATATTTTAATTCACTATATTACTAACTTAAGGTGATTTATCAAAAAAAAAAAAAAAATTAAGGTGGCGAGTAGGTTTCTAAACTTTTAACTTTTTGTTTACTTAGTCCCTAAATTTAAAAGTGTCTAGTTCCTTAACTTTTAATTTTGTATATAACAGGTCTCTAATTTATTCGACGATTTTTTTAAAATCATGAATCTTTTAGACACGAGAGCGAATTTTGTATCTAATAGAATCTTAACATTTTAATTTTATGTTTAAAGAGTTCATGTATTTTTAAAAATTGCTTAATAAATTAGATACCTATATCAAACTTAGGATATATTAGACATTTTTTAAAGTTAAAGGATCTATTTGATACTAATTCTAAGAGTCTAGAGATTAAACTTATAATTTAACTTTAACATTTTTTATTTTATCAATTTATTAGATATTAATAAATAATAACTAATCAAGATAAAATTACATGATTAATACAAGTTTTTATTAAAATTACAAGTATTGATATAAAATATTATCAAATTGGGACTATTATGATATTTAATTAGAAACATATTATATTTTACCTGATTAATTAAAATAAATTACATAAAAAAAAGGATGTATAGTTTTTATTATAAGAAGGATTATTGATATGAAAYGTTACTGATAATATTTAGTAATAATGAATTATATTTTAACAATTTAATTGGCATTAATTAATAATAATTAAGTAAAATTATTATCAATGCAGAAATTTGTAACACTTTATACTAAAATCACACATCAATTAAAAAATTAGTATAATTTTTTATTAGAAAGAAAAATTAAGTGGGGATGATAGATTAGTTTTATTCGTATGCTAGTACCAATGTTCTATTCTAACAAATTAAATAACTATGACTAGCTCAGTTTTAGCAACATTTTTTGTAAAATATCGCAAAACGAAGGTGTTATTTCTTGTAGTGTATGAAATGTTTTAGATGGAATCAAAGTATTTTCATGTACCTTTTCACTTAAGTTTTGACCATGCTTCAGTTTGAATTTAAAATAAGTCTATTTRATCMATGGTTAACCTCGTTAACACATACGACTTTCATCACATTCTTTTATATGTGTCAAAATTTGAATAATATTCAAACCAGGGTAATTTTTTACCTGTGGTAAATGTAGTAGTTTGAAATATGGAAAGCTGTATTGTGTTGAAAAAAAATAAGATTATAGAGTGCATTTTTCAAGAGTTGAAAATATGCATTCAAAGGGCCAAAATCTCAATGATTGAAGGAAGAAAAAGAAAGAAAAAATCATGGGAAATTTTTCAGTATAAACAAGAAGTCAAAGGTAGGTTCTCATATTTATGGGTTTTGCTTGAATAAGGGTAAGAGAAGACCAAAATGGCCCTCAAGAGAGAAGAAATTTCATATATATATATATATATATATAGATATACATGCATGGAGGCAATATCAAGCTAATAATTAATTAATTTCTCCATTTTAAACTAAGCAATTATTTCAAAAAGGTCAAAGTCAGATCACTAGAAAAAGAAAATGGGCATCTCCATATTCATCTAATTCATTGGATTCTCACTGGATCTAAATTTCAACTTGTTTTATGAGAATTCCATTATTGGAATTTTTTTTAGTTTATTAATCGTTTCTTTAGTTTTCTAAGTTTACATTTTGAAAAGGTAGATGTTCGGCATCTTCAGATGTCTGGAATCTCATATGTCCGAAATTTTAAATAACCACGTTTGTTTGGTAAGATATAAAGGTATCTAGAAATATTTTTTATAAACACATTTATTTTGCACGATTTATTGAAGGGAATATTGTAAATTTATGTAATGTTACAGAAACGTCCTTAGTGGTCGTCATATAATTTATATGTTAAATTTAATATTATTTGAATACATATAAAATTGTACTTTTATTAATTTAATATTATATTTTTATATCAATTTTAGTTTATGTTTGGTAACTATTGGAAGAGTAAAAATAAACAAAATATTGCACCTTAGATTTGAATTAAAAACAAATTAAGATATTATAGCATTGACTGATATTTATTTTATATCTAGATGTAGCATATAAATAAAATTATATTTAGATATTTATCAATGAATTAGTGCATACATTTATTTTTAAAATAAGATAAAATAAATTAGAAATAAATATTATTGATGAAAAAATATTATAGAACAAAAACGACGAGGGACAAAATTGTCAAAATAAGATGAACTCAACACGAGAATCTTAGAAACCCATGTTACAGAAGGACATCTAAAATTGCTCAGATGCCTCCTATATGGACATTCTAGGATGTTCGGGCATCTAAGAATGTCCGAAAATCCAACATTCCTATTAAACAAACACGGGCATTTGGATGACCATCCCATGGGAATCTGAGATTCACATGAAACAAACGACCCTYAGTGTTATTCTCTAGTTTGTTAGGTTGGAGAGGAACAATAGATGCTTCATGAACACTCACACGTCTATAATTCATCTCTAGGATAAACATCAAAACTGCAACTTCTTCTCAGTTTTCAAAATATCGCTTCTTTTGTTATTATGATATCTCTGCTCTTTATTTAAACTGAAGAGCTTTCTTACAGTCTCTTCATACGCATGCTTTCTATGAAATGGTGTTTCTTTTCCAATTTTTTTTTTCTTTTCAAAAGGTTGTTCTTGGTTGTTGAAATTTGATAAAGAATTCAAAAGGGTTTTGTGGAAGTAAAAATTTAAACAA